GGATGGGCTTTGTCCCCAGGGAGCCCATTTCTCATTTCTTCAGGAGAGAAGAGGTTTGTGGGCAGTAGAGGTGTTGGGACAGCTTCCTTCTCCTGACCAGCTGGCTGGGAGCAATCTGGATGCACTTGGGAAAGGCTCAGTGGCTGGTGAGGTGTGGCTGGAGGGATCCACATGGATCTGCAGAGCAGAAGGCTGGAAGAGAGATGTTTTCAGGGAGCTTTTCTGAGGAGTGAGTTTTCTGAGGGAGCTGTGGGGGCTCAGCCTGGAGCAAAGGAGGCTCAGGGGGGACCTTCTGGCTCTGCAACTCCCTGACAGGAGGGTGGAGCCCGGGGGGGAGGGGGTTGGGCTCTGCTGCCAGGGAACAAGGACCAGGACAGGGGAGGTTTAGGTTGGCTATGAGGGAAAATTGTTCATGGAAAGGGTTGTCCAGCCCTGGCACAGCTGCCCAGAGCAGTGGTGGAGTCCCCATCCCTGGAGGGATTTCAGAGCCCTGTGGATGTGGCACTTTGGGGCATGGGTCAGTGGTGGCCTTGGCAGTGCTGGGAGAAGAGTTGGACTCTATGATCTTGGAGGGCTTTTCCAACCTTAATGATTCCAGGATTGTTCTGGATCGCCTGAAGGAAACCTGTGTGCCCCGTTGGTGTTCTGCTCTCCCTTGCCTTGTGCAGCAGCAGCTGCAGGAGGGATATTGGAGCTGGGACGTGCAGCTGTGCTGGAGAGAGGGCTTCAGCCTGTCCAGCCTGCTGTAGTGAAGGGATTGAGTCAGCTCCACGTGGATTTGGGGCCTGTTTTGTGTGCTCCCTGCCAGGAGATCTGGGAGGGCAGCACACTGGTTAAGTGCTGCCAGAAGGACATGGAAGGCAGATGAGAATCCTGCCCAAAACCTGTGCCAGCTGGGAGTGGGGGGAATGTGCTGCTGCAACGAGAGGCCTGGTCTGGGTCGATCATCACAGGGGAGCTTCAAGTGACTCCATTCAGGAGCATCCTAAATGCTCCTGGTTTAGGAGCATTTACCTGGGGGGGGAGGTAAAACTTGCCAGCTGAGGGCTCTGCAGGCTGGGAGACGCTGCTGCCATGGGATAAAAAGGGGAAGCAGCAGTGTAAAATATTTATGGTGAGACACTGGGACAGGTTGCCCAGAGAAGCTGTGGCTGCCCCTGGATCCCTGGGAGTGTTCCAGGCCAGGTTGGATGGGGCTTGGAGCAACCTGGTGTGGTGGAAGGTGTCCCTGCCCATTGGAGTAAGATGATCTTTGAGGTCCCTTCCAACCCAAACTGTTCTGTAGTTCTGTGCTGGTATTTGGACAGGACATGAAGTGTAGATTTTATATCACTGGCAGTAAAGTCCAGGCTGGTGGTGTTTCTCCTGAGTTCAGGGAAGCCCGTGGATGATGGAATGGTACCCAACTGGCCTTGCAATCCATGATTCCAGTAGAACAGTGGTTCTTCCTTGTCGTGTGAGGCTCAAAACCCACCCCACATCACCCTCAGCTGCCTCAGTAATAAATACTGGCAGCTGGTGTCTGTGTGCTGAAAGTGTCAGGGAAAGCAGGTGGGATCACAGAGGTTTTTCAGGGATCACAGTCCATGGTTTCCCGCTGCAGGATTCCCAAGCAACTGATGTGGCACAAGCAATTTGTGCCCACACAAGAGTTTGTGCTGGATGTCTCTGGTGTATTTGCTTTCAGTTTAAGTCACCTACAGTGACCTTGACCAACTTGCCTGGCTCTGTCTTGGAATGACGACAGCGGAAACATGAACCAGGCCTTGCATTCCATCTGTGCTGTGCTGCCCCTGGTCCATGGGCTTAAGGTTTCCCAGCAGTGACACAGAGCTGGTTCACACATCCGTGGTATTTTCACACATCTCTGGCAATCCTGCAAGTGTCAGTGTTCTGTTTTCAGCCCTATGGTGTTAATTTTCTGTTGATGGAAAAGGGGTGACAGAGGAAATGGCTTCAAAGCTGAATATTCAGGTCTGGATTGATGGGGAACAGAGGGGACCTGCAGGGCAGGATGGAGAAATGAGGAGGTGAGAGGACATGGATAAGGAAGGGCTGAGCACACATTTTCCCAGGAATCCCAGAATAGTTTGTGTTGGAAGTGACCTTAAAGCTCATCTTGTTCCAGCCCCCTGCCATGGGCAGGGACACCTTCCACCAGCCCAGGTTGCTCCAAGCCCTGTCCAACCTGGCCTTGAACACTTCCAGGGATCCAGGGGCAGCCACAGCTTCTCTGGGCAACCTGTACCAGGACCTCACCACCCTCACAGCCAAGAATTCCTTCCCAGTATCCAATCAAACCCTGCCCTCTGGCAGTGGGAAGCCATTCCCCCTTTCCCTGTCCCTCCAGGCCCTTGTCCCAAGTCCCTCTCTGGCTCTCTTGGAGCCCCTTTAGGCACTGGAAGGGGCTCTCAGGTCTCCCCGGAGGCTGGAGTTGTGTTTTAAGCTGCTGTCACCCTCCTTGAGGTGTAATGCCGTGACATCTTTGAGTCCTTGGAGGCTGCTGCTCTTGCTTCCTTGACAGTAAGCTCTCCCATTTGACCTGGGCTCGTTCCCACACGCCAGGATTGTGTTTATTTTTCCATCCTGTTGTAGCCAAGTTTGTCATTTCATAAACACCCCCCCCTTGTCCCCTCTGTAAGCCAGGGGAACAGATGGGAGGGCACAGGACCAGGAATGCCTGACGCTGCCCAAAGCTGGAAAGGAGGGAACTGGAGATTTTGAGATGAAAAGAAAAAAATTGATGTCTTTCCAGCTCTGTCTTTGTTCCGTTGTGCCTTCAGGCCTGGATCCCAACACCCCACCTCTGGGAGAAGGAGCCTGCGAGGCTGAGCGTGCCTGGCTGTCACTAAATCCTCGCTCTCAGAGCACAGCAGAGGCTCTTTCCCTGGTGGTTTGTGAGCTTGGGTTCATCCCAGAGCAGCCACAGGAAGCTGGCAGCATCTGGCAGGGTGTTGGAGGGAATGGCAGTCCATGGACACAGAGGTGTTTGTTGGGGGAAGCAGCTGCAGCTCGTGGTGCAAAGCAACACACCCTCAGTTCCAGCTTTGTCCCTTTGCTGACCAGGGACCAGCCACATTCCAGCACCAAAGAAGAACACCTGAGGAACAGGAACCTGGTGTTAAACGGGGGATTGGAGTGGGAAGAAGATGTTTTTCCATCCTTAGGGCTCTTTAACCTCCTCACGTTATTTGGTGTGGAATCACAGAATCCCAGATTGGTTTCGGTCGGGAGGGACCTTAAAGACCACTTTGTTCCACCCCCCTGCCATGGGCAGGGACACCTTCCACCAAAATCAGTTTGTTCAGGAAAATTCACACCTAATACAGACGCTGGGGTTTGGGATGGATGATCTTTAAGGTCCCTTCCAAGCCTTAATGTTCTGTGATTCTCCCTGAAAGTGAAAGTGGCCACCAGGAAGTGGCAAAACCAGCAGCCAGGAGCAGAAAAGATATTGCAGAATTCTTGTCTGATTTATTGTTACACGTAGATTAGGTCAAGGGTAATCTGCTGCTTTTGTTAATCCTAGAGAGGTTAAATTGTATCAGGACTTCTGCACACAGAGTAAAGAAGAAAACAGCAGTACTTATAAAAATAGCATCCATTTAAGTTACGTAAATCCTTATAAATACAAGAGAGAAATCAGTTATTCTATAAAAAATAAACCAGAGCATGTGTTCTTGAAGCACCAGCACTGCATCCTCATTTTAAGGACTTCAGCTACAGTCTTTATAAATATACCTGCAAAATTCTGACCATAAACAGGGGTCAGAATGTGCACATTTGTATTTTGCACAGAAACAGAAGGTCTGATACTTGAATCTCAACTGACCATTTGATTTTTGTCAACCTCAACGTGCCCCATCCCTCTGCAAACACGTTTCAGTGGCACACAAATGCTGTTGGCATCCTCAAAGCTCTTTAGCAAGAATTGAAGCAGTTTGGGTGGGGGTTTGTGCGTGACACTGTCACTGCTTTCTGCCTGTACATTTAATTTCTGTTTGACTCGAAAGAAATAAAAAGGAGGGGCAAAACTCAGCCTTAAAGGAACAGCACTGAGGATCTGTGTGCTTGAAGGTACCACTTGGCAGTAAGAGAATGGCCTTGCAGTTGTCTGAGTGATGTTGGAGTGACTAATTCATGTTGTCCCCGAGATGTTTGTGTCACATAAATAATTTCCACAATTGGAAATTGTGGTTGTGCTGCACCTGCCTGAACAAACACTCACATACGTGTTTGTGTGTGTGTAAGTATAATATATATATTTTTTTTATGTTTTCCCCAGTTGTGACTCTCCCGTGCCTGTAGCTGACAACAGCCATGTCAGCCCAAGGGGATAGATGGGTTTCTTCCTTTGTTTTCCTGCTCTTCTGTGCTTCCTCCATCCCAAGGCCGGGAATCGCGGGGCTGCGGCAGGAGCCGAACCCCCAGCGCTACTTCAGTGGCTTGGAAGCCGGACGAGCATCCCTGGCTTTTTTCACCCCTCATGGTGAGTGTTTAATGGTGGGCACTGACATCAGCCTGGTGCTCAGAAAGGCTTGGGTGAAAGTGGAACAATCCCAGAATCGTGGAATGATTTGGGTTGGAAGGGGCCCTAAAGCTCATCCGGTTCCAACCCCTGCCATGGGCAGGGACACCTTCCGCTATCCCAGGTTGCTCCAAGCCCCGTCCAACCTGGCCTTGGACACTTCCAGGGATGGGGCAGCCACAGCTTCTCTGGGCAACCTGTGCCAGGGCATCCCCCCCTCACAGGGAAGAATTTCCTTCCCAATATCCCATCTAACCCTGCCCTCTGGCAGTTGGAATCCGTTCCCCCCTGTCCTGTCACTCCAGGCCCTTGTAAATAGTCTTTCTCCACCTTTCTTCTGTCTCCTTCAGGTACTGGAAGGCCCCTTTTAGGTCACCCCAGAGCCTTCTCTTTTCCAGGCTGAACAATCCCAATTCTCTGGGCCTTTCCTCAGGGAGAGGTGCTCCATCCCTCCAATCATCTTGTCCTCCTCAATGAAGAGGCAATTCTTGAGATTTTTAACCCCAAAGGGAGCTGGTTGAGCTCAGTGTTTGTGCATCTCCAAGTGCTCAGGCAGACAGAGACCTCTTGGGATGGGTTCTTTCCTGGCTGTGTCCCCAGGAACACCCCTGCAAACCTCTTAATTCATGTACCATGGTATAGAAATCCAGTCTCCTAAGGAACTCTCCCCTCAAAGGGACTGAGTTTCTCATCCATGGTACCTGCCAGGGAAAGGGTGATCCCTTACATGCAGGAGAACTAAGGACTGCCATGGATTAGGAGGAGATCCTTGGCCTTGTTTTGTTGTTCTGCCATTTCGTGATCCCCGGGTGTGATTCCCAAAGACACTGGTGTGGGATGAGGCACCAGCACAGCTCCCAGGTCTCAGTGTGTGGCCGGAGGATGCTCCTGACCCTGAGAACTTGCAGAGGGGTTTTTGTGTTTCAGTCTCTCCTGGTTCCCAGCCCTTCCTGGAGCAGATCGAGAGCTCGGCCGAGGCCCTCCAGGACTATGGCATTTCTGTGGTGAAGGTAAAGGGGCACAGAGGGAAACTGCTGGGCAGGATGGAGGGAGGAGGATCTGAGAGGAGATGGGTAGGGAAGGGGTGAACACACATTTTTTGTAGGATCATGGAATCACAGAACAGTTTTGGTTGGGAGGGACCTTAAAGACCATCTTCCTCCATCCTCCTGCCATGGGCAGGGACACCTTCCACTAGCCCAGGTTGCTCCAAGCCCTGTCCAACCTGGTCTTGAACACTTCCAGGGATCCAGGGGCAGCTTCTCTAGGGAACCTGTTCTGATTTCCATGATGGATGGGGTTGGTTCACTTCTTTTCAACTTGGTGCAATAAATATTTCATATGAAAGGGTTTTTATCTGAACCTTTATGCAGATTTAGATGAGGAAATTAAAATTTCAGGTAAGTATATTTAGACTATAAGACGTGCTTACATATATATATGTATATTTTTATATATATATATATTTCATTTACAGCTACAGGCCAAGTTTAATAAGCAAGCAGTAATCTGTCACCTGAATATTCTGGGCAGATCATGGGATCTCTTGATCCCATCTGACCCAAATTAGCAGGCTGAGCTGGAGAACTGAAGTACAAACTCCAGTCTCCATCTCTGTACTCCATTTTATTGAATTTTCTCTCCTAGCAGTCTTGGAAAGGCTGTGTTTGCACTCTTGAATTGAAGACAGCTGTAGTGCTCTATGTGTGTAGTCATTTGTGGGGCTGAATGTCCAATGACATGCCTTTGCTGTCTAGGTTAATTGTCCCAAAGAGGATGTCTCAAGATACTGTGGAAAAGAAAATGCCTTAAGGAAAGCCTACCTGTTCAGGTGAGGGGGATTTCTGGGCGCTGCACTGGGATTCCTTTCCAGTGCAAATGTTGGAAGGAAACACTGTCAGAGATGTCTGTGGAGGGAGAGAGGGGCCATGAGCACAGCAGTGACCTACAGAGTTTAGCAAAAAGTGTCCCCAAAAGGTCCAACACAGGCAAAGCAGATGCTTTGTCCTCAGTGTGAAACCTCCCATCCTGCCCATGTTCCTTGGAGCAGCAGAGGGATGAAGCCACGGGAGAGGTCCTCCATCAGTGTTCTCCTGTCCCTGTGGCCTCCCACCAGCAAGTCCTCCAGAGTAACACTCAGACCACGAGGTTTTGGGTCTAGTCCTGGAAGGAAGCATTCCTTGGTGCTCTTCCTGTTGGTGTGGGTGACTCCTCTGCCCTGAGTGGGAAGGTTTAGCTCTGGGTCTCTGGAGGCTCCTGTATTGACTCGGTTCTCACTGACTGTTATACTTAGAATCACAGAATCATTTAGGTTGCAAAAGACCTTTAAGACCATCAAGTCCAACCATTCCCCCAGCACTCCAAGCCCACCACTGACCCATGTCCCTGAGTGCAGCAGAATCCTGCTCAATGTGGGCTTGAACGATTCCCAGCTCGGGCCAAAGGCATCTTGAGCCATGTTTTGTCATTTCTCCATCGTCCTCCCTATCCTTCTGTGCCTGTCTTGGCTTCAGAGAATTCCCAGGCTCCCTTATGCCAAGTGGAATGAACCTCTCACTGTTCCTGTGGTGGTTCTTTCTTGCCTCCCCAGAGGAAACATCCTGATCCGAGAGTTCCCCACCGACGCCCTGTTTGATGTGAACTCCATCGTTGCCAACGTTCTGTTGTAAGTACAGACCACATCCATCCCTGTGAAATCCTTCGCTTCCCATTCCCACTTGCTGAGAGGACATTTTGCCTACATGCCAACCCCGAGTATTCCAGAGGCTGCTCTCAGCCAAGCAGAAGGTTTGGCTTTGCTTCTCTCTTTGATGTGGTTTGACCCTGTTAAATCTTCCTCCTTCACATGAATCACCAGCACACGTCTGGGCAGCCCTGTTTGGCTGTGAATCTTCAATCTACCAGCAAGAAACTGGAATTTTACCTTTTTTTTTTCCCATCACAGTTCTGTGGCTGCAAATCTACTCTTCAAACAGTTGTTAATGAGATTTTTTCTCTTCTGCCTCCTCAGTGCCCTGCTCTTTAATGAAGTCAAATACGTTGAAACGCTGGCAGACCTTCAGAACATTGAGAATGCGTTGAAGGGGAAGTCAAACATGGTCTTTGCCTACGTACCAGCTACTGGGACAGCAGGTATTGACACTCAGCATTCCATCTTTGCTCTCCTCCCAGAGCCTTTTTTGACTGAGGTGCACAGGGGCTGAGTTTCTGACCCAAAATGCTGCAAATGGAAACCTGAAAGTCACAAGTTCTCCACTTCCACACGTCTTGCTGTGTTTCCAAAGGGATGAGTTGCACCAGAAGGGTTTTGCTGGGAGCATAAACTTTCAGAGTCTTGGAGAGAGAAAGCAAGTTGCTGTCTTCAAAATAAATAAATGCAGCTCTCTGGTTCAGCAGTGGAATGGATTCACAAACACCACCTGTGCTTCTGCTGGGGATCAGGAATGGGATTGCTCCCTTCCCTTCACAGTGTGTCTTCAGACAGCTGTGGCTTTGTACAGAGAGCTTCTAAATGCCTGGGAATCAATATTTACACCCGGGAAGGATGAACCAGGAGATCTGGAGGGAGCAGAAATGAGCTCATCTTGCCTTTCCCTTTCCAGAGCACAGAGCTGTGATGGAGGCGGCTTTTGTCTACGGGTCCATCCACCAGTTTGTTCTGACCACGGAGGCAGCGCTGCTGAAAGCCACTGGGTATGTCCAAACACACCCCCCACCATGGAGAGCTGCTTCCCTGCAAAGGTTTGCCTCACTCCTGGCTTCTCAGATTCCCAGGTCAACTCTGGGGTGGCATTAGGATGCCAAGGGTGGACAGTCAGATCTGTTTTTGGTTTTCCAAAAGCAGCTGCTGCTGGTGTTCCTGGCCTGGGAGTAGCCATGCTGGTTTGGGTCCCTCATGACAAAAAAGACACTGAGGGGCTGGAGTGTGTCCAGAGAAGGGAATGGAGCTGGGAAAGGGTCTGGAGCACCAGGAGTGGCTGAGGGGGCTCAGCCTGGAGAAAAGGAGGCTCAGGGGGGACCTTCTGGCTCTGCAACTCCCTGACAGGAGGGGGAAGCCTGGGAGGGGGTCAGGCTCTGCCCCCAGGGAACAGGGGACAGGATGACATGAAATGGCCTCAATTTGTACCAGGGAAGGTTTAGGTTGGATATTAGGGAAAAATTCCTTCATGGAAAGGGTTGTCCAGCCCTGGCACCGGCTGCCCAGGGCAGTGGGGGAGTCCCCATCCCTGGAAGGATTTAAAAGCTTTGTGGATGTGGCACTCGTGGCCATGGGTCAGTGGTGGCCTTGGCAATGCTGGGGGAATGGTTGAACTCGATGGTCTTGGAGGGCTTTTCCAAGTTTAATAATTCTACATCGATTTACCTGGGATTTTGTCACAGGTGGCACCAGGGCAGGCACCAGAGTGGTCCTTCCCGAAGTGCCATCCACCGAGGTGCCAAATAATATCCATTATTTGCAGGATATTAGGGACAGGGTGCTGTGGCTGCCACTAGATGGCACGGTTGTCATTTGACAGGAATCGGCTTAATTCTCAAAGCAGCGAGGGCACCAGCGGCCACATCCTGAGCTGCTGGAATGGTGGGAGCTTTGCCAACAGGAACAGCTTTCAGCAGTCAGGGCAGCAGGATCTGGGGGCTTAATACTGCCCTCTGCTCTTCCATATGTTAAATCCCTTAAGATCTTCCAGATATTACATCCCTTTACAAACACGGTGATCCCTGTTTTAGGGGTGGGGAATGTTTGCATAGGAAAAGACACCTGACTTCCCGAAGTTGACCCAACAGCCAACACTAGTGATGGTGTCAGAGCAGGAACAACTAAGCAGGGAGCCATCCAGGGAATTCCATCTCACTGCTTCCTTTGGCACAGCCCGAAACAGTGCTGTTCAAAAGGTGGGAATATTCTTTGTACAGCCTGTAAGATGTCACCAGTTTGGTGAAAAATGTGAGCAAAGCTATAGATTTCAGCTCTTCTCCTCCTGCCAAGGGTCTCCACTGCACTGGCAAGGCTGGTCCCACTGAGAAAAGCTTTATTTGTGTCCTTCTCAAGCTGGGTCAATTATTTTGGGATTGGGATCATTTGGGAGCACTTGGTGAGTGAGGGTCAGCACAGTTCCAAAAGGCACCTGGACATGGCTGTACCTGTCAATAGGAAGACTCTTGAGGAGGTCATAGAATCATAGAATCACAGAATGGTTTGGGTTGGAAGGGACCTTAAAGGACATCTCTTTCCACCCCCCTGCCATGGGCAGGGACACCTTCCACTAACCCAGGTTGCTCCAAGCCCCATCCAACCTGGTCTTGGACACTTCCAGGGATCCAGGAGCAACCACAGCTTCTCTGGGCACCCTGTACCAGGGCCTCACCACCCTCAGAGCCAAGAATTCCTTCCCAATATCCCATCTAACCTTGCCCTCCTTCAATTTAGGGCCATTACCCCTTGTGCTATCACTCCATGCCCTTGTCCAACATCCCTCTCCAGCTCTCTTGTAGCCCCTTTAGGCACTGGAAGGGGCTCTAAGGAGGCTCCTCTTCTCCAGGCTGAACATCCCCCGCTCTCTCAGCCTGTTCCACGACCCTGTCAAACCCTGAACTTGAGGCTCATCTGCCCTGTAAAACATGTCAGCAAACCTGGTCCTTCTGTCAGGGCATTTTCCAACCCTGCTCAGGGTTTTGTTTCTCCCTCACAGCAATGATGACCCCGACGTATCCTCTGCCTGGCTGCTGTTCTGCCACTGCCAGAGGGCCACGGACCCGGCACAGCCCTGCAGGAGAACAGCCCTGGCACAGCCCCTGACCCTGCTCAACATCCACAGGCACCTCAAGCTCATGGGGGCTCCCTTGGTGGTACGATGGGAACGAGGAGCCGCCTGGCTGGGGGTGTGAGGGCAGCTGGGGTGGGTGAGAGAGTGAGGGGGGTGAGAGCAGGGGGCAAAGGTGAGCGTGAGAATCCATTTTTTTCCCCAAAAAGTTAATGGCAAAGCTCCCAGGTTGGGTCCAAGCAAGTAACAGGCAGCATCTGGTCCAACTGCCTGAGCAATTCAGGGCTGGCCAAAAGTTAAAGTAAATTACTGGTGGCATTTTCCAAATGACCACCTCAATATGAAGCTTGTCCCAGTGTTTGATGATGCTCTTGGTAAAGAAATGCTTCCTATTGTCCTGTCTAAACCTCCCCTGATGCAGCTGTGAACCATTTCCACATGTTCTATCCCTGGATGTGCTGAAGAGATCAGCGTTTCCCCCTCAACATCCCCTCAGGAAGCTGTGGAGAGCAACGGGGACATCCCTCAGCCTTCTTTTCCCAAACTAGAAAGACCCAGTGTCCTCAGCTGCTTCCCATGGGAAGCTCAGCACCCTGTGGAATTTGATATCAGTCCTTGGTGAGCACAAGGAATGGGAGGTTCCCTCCTATTTCCTCCTTCTATGGGGCAGGAGAAACTTTATCAGCCTCCTGTTCCCACTGGTCATCTCCGCCCATCCAAGAGGATGAGCTGATGAGCTGGGAAGTGCCTCCTTCAGCCAGTCTCCTGGATTAGGCCCATGGAGCCATCAAGCAGCTCCATGCTGTCATGAAGCAGCTTGTCCAAGGCAGGAAGGGAGAGGATTCCAGCTGTTGCATGTTGTGGCTGGGATTTTCCAACTGCCCCGGGGGAATGGATGCCAGGTGAATAAAAGTGAGTGGGGATTTGACATCTGGAGTTGCTGAGCCATAAAAAAACAACATGCAAAATAAGGCCCAGGTTTTTACCAGGGAAAGTCATGACGTGTTGGAACAGCTTAACTGGGGTTGTGTGGGTTCTGCTTCGATGGATGTTTTGGAATTGGGGTTGGAAGCTTTTTCTTGAGGATCTCCTCATTCCTGGGGCCGGGGAACACTTGGTTGCTTGGGCCGTGCAGGAGAAGAGCTGAAGTACCTAAAAATTGTGGAGCTGTGCTGCAATATGACCATGTCTGTTCTCCAGACAGAGGTTGCTGAGGACCCAGAGAAGGTCTCCACTGTCCACTTACAGCTCGGGCTACCCCTGGTGTTCATCCTGAGCCAGAGGGAGACCTACGAGGCCGACAGGAGGACAGCAGAGTTTGTGGCCTGGCAGCTCTTGGGCAAAGCAGGAGTTGCCCTTTTGTCCAGGTATTTCTCTCAGGTGTTTTGGGACTCTCCTTGATTTTTGTGGTGTCTCCAAGTTTGGTTACTCCAGGATGTCAGTCGGTGGGCTTAAATTTGGATGGGAGGCAGTAAAACCAGGCTATATCCTGAGAATGTCACATTTAAGGACTTGTCCAGAATCAGATTAGTTTGGAAGTGTTGCTGGCTTAGAAGTGGGAAAACAGTCAGACTGAGAGAGATTTTGGAAAGGAAACTTAGCACTGGTGGAAGGTTGTATTTTACCCTCCAATTAAGGGCAGAAAGAGGAGAGATGACCTTACATGTTGCCCCATCTAATGTCCACTGTGTATTTTGGAAGGGACCTCGTGGATTTGAACGTTCTGCACCGGTCCAACGTCGCTCTGAAGACACCGGATGAGGTTGGACACTGGATTTCTTCGCTGTACAACTCTTATTTCCCTGCCTGGGCACAGTGCTCTGGAGAGGTGTTGGGGTGTTGCTTGGCTCTGTTGTTATTTGACAGCATTCCCTGAAGCTCGAGGGAAGGAGTCTTTCACAAGATGCACGTGTGTGTGCAACAGGTTGTCCAAAAAAACTGTGGATGTCCCATCCCCGGGAGTGTTCTAGGCCAAGTTGGATGGGGCTTGGAGCAACCTGGGCTAGTGGAAGGTGTCCCTGCCCCTGGAAATGGATGATCTTTAAGGTCCCTTCCAACCCAAACCATTCCATGATGATTCTGTGATTTGGAATTGCCCAGGTTGGGTGCTGCACAGCGATTGTGCCTGGTGGAAAAGATAAAATACTGAGTTTATTTTGGGTTCAAAACATAGGGTGACATCTCCCTTACACCTTAAGGCAACACAAGGTTGTGAACTATATCCCAGTGCAAATTCCCCAAAGATTTGGGCTTCTGAAGGTCCTTATCCCTTTGGGAAAGGTGTCAAAAGACGGGAGAGGGAATGAGTGTGAAACTAAGAGCAAACAACCAAAGGTCTGTGCTGTGCTGATGTAACCAAGTGCCTCTGGCAGTGATCTGAGAAAAGGGCAGGGTGTGAGTTAAATGAGGTTGATCAAGATGAGCTAAACTCTGGAGGGGCCTGACCCAGCTTGTGAGGGAAGATGGAATTGGGTGCTGACAGATTCCAGGGAGCACACATTGGCCTGGATTACCTGAACTGTCACACTTGGGATTGCAGGGACGCAGGATCAGACCTGAGCGTCCCCCCAGGGCTTCCCATGCCCCAGTGATGGATGTGCACGTTGTGTTGCTCCTCTCAGAGCCCAGGGGAGGTGCCAGCAGTTTGTCATTTCTCTCAGTTCATGATAAAATTTCACTTTTCTCTCCAGTGCCTTTGTCTGAGCCAGAGCCAGAACTGGTTTTAAGCCGACAAGGTCTCATTTCTGAGAAATACATTTTGCTCTTTCCTTTCCACGGGTTGGCAGCCCCTGTACTCTTGGGAACACTCTTCCTGGCTGAGCTCCATGAGATAAAGGATATTTTAAGCCAGTTTCCCAGGCTGTGGTGGGCTGCTTGGACCCAGCCTGACCCCCCTAATGAGGAGATATCCAAGTGGACCCTGTACTTTGATGCTCTCCTTCCCTGCTTGGCCACTGGGATTTCTCCTGCAGTGTTGGATCTATGTTAAGTTGCTGGGAGGTGGAGCTGGTGTTCACTTTCACCACAGGATCCCACTTAGCCACATTTACTTCCTCACAAGGAGACATCAACCTGGAGTGAGAAAAACTCATGCACAGGTAAAATTGGGCTAAAGAAACATAACTCAGGTGTTCCCCTGTTTTGGCAGCTTTAGGGATCTGTTGTCATATCCTAAAAATAAGTAGTTGGGTGATGTTGCCCCATGGGTTTGATTTGCAGACAGAATAGGCAGAAAGTGATGGTTTGCTCCCACTGTTTTATTCTGTTTTCCACAGGGAATGCCAGTCCAATACCTGGTCTTGGAAGACACTGATGAAGTTATAACCCTGGTGGAAGATAAGAACAAGGTCAAACAAATCCAGGAGGATGAGGAGAAGGAGGAGGAGGAGGAGGAAGAGGAAGATGAGGATGAAAAAGAGAATAACAATCAAGGTGTGCAATTAAGCAGTGAAAAGCTGATTGTCATCAGACAGGATGTGCAATCAGCATCTGCTAGAGACATGTTAAAGCATTAGAGAACACTTGCAAACTATCACAGTCACATCATGGTGGCCACAAAGTGGCTCTCTCATTCTCTGAGATCACTGGAATATGACAGACAAGTATAATTTTTAGGGGAAACACCAGGGAGAAAAATCAGAAGCCATGAGAGGAACAGTCACTGAAGTGCTGAGTGAGGGACACGGGTGCTTGTGCTGGGATGCAGCAGAGTCAGAGACGTGAGGGGTTTAAAGTGCACCCAAAACAGTGTCCTCTACAAGCATCTGAAGGGCCTCAGAGTTACCAGTCCCTTTGGAAGGGGTTAGAGACACGTTTTTGTAAGAGCAGTTCCAGACTTGCCCCCTCCAGGGAGAAAACGCTGGTCCCTGCAAAGCATAATAGAAAATGCTTTTGTTCTCCGTGCAGAATTGGGTGTGTTTTCCAAAAAAAAACTGGGGCAGGATCTCAGAGGAGCCAACATGCTCAAAGAATAGTGTTCAAATCCAGGGGCAGAAGTGGTGTGAGGTGGGATATGTGCATTTTGATGGGTTTGTCTGTGTGTCTGTCCCTCCTCTCCCCACACGAGGCAGTTCCTTACCCCCATGTCTCTGCTGGGAGGTTCTGCCTTACAAAAACCCGCTGCTGGGGTGGCTCAGGGGGGCTGCAGTTCCTCCTGCCCTGTGCACACCTGTGGGTCTCTTGCAGACATCCAGGATGACCAGGTGTTGGAAGCAGTTTCCAGGGACAAGAAGCGAGAGCTGCCCCTGGAGCAGGTCCTTGTCCTGACGGAGGAGACCTTCCGCTCTTCCCTCTCGGAGGCTGCCCGGACAGTGGTGCTGTTTTATGCCAGTTGTGAGTATGAAACATGGCCTGGCTGACCCTTCCCTAACCTTGGGATGCTCTCCATGCTTTCCAGGATCCTGGAGACAGGTTTAAACCGTAAAGCAATGCCTCATCTTGCCCTGTGTGTCTCCCGCCACTGTTAGCAGTGAGATTAAATCAGTTCTCTTCGTTGGCTGATGATGTGTGATAATGTCCTCCAGGACAGGAGATATCCATGTTCATAGGTTTTTAACCTTCATTTTATAAGGAAAAAATATAGGATAAGAGGGGAAATTATGGTATTGTGGGCTCATGGGATGGCCTAGACAGCCGAAACATAAAATAAGAGAAGTCCAGAAGCATAAAGTTCGATTTTCCTTATTATTTCAAGTCAGAGCTTGAAGCACCTCAGGCTGCAGAGACTCGTAACATGACATTGTCAGAGAGCAAGGGAGGGGCTGTGTGTCACCTGCCTGTCCCTCAGGGTGTGTTTCCCCTCTCCTGTGTTCCAGGGGAAGCTGTGTCCCTGGCAGTGCTGCGCTCTTACTCCGAGGTGGCCGATCACCTGAAAGGTAAAGTGTCCTGGGGCTGAGGGATTTACACTGCTCCTGCTCCTGGCAGTAGGAACCCGGAGGCTGGGAGGATATTGGTGATACCTGACCTGGAACACACTCATTTTTTTTCCCCTCAAACTTTTAAGGAAGGCATATCCATGTTGCTTAGGAAGAGTCCTTCGTTTCTTGTTTAGGGATCTTGGCAGAGTCTCTTCTCCCAGGGAACAAGTGACAGGATGAGAGGAAATGGCCTCAAGTTGTGCCTGGGGAGGTTTAGGCTGGATATTAGGGAAAATTTCTTTCATGGAGAGGGTTGTCCAGCCCTGACACAGCTGCCCAGGGCAGTGATGGAGTCCCCATCCCTGGAAGGATTTCAAAGCCATGTGGATGTGGCACTTGGGGATATGGGTCAGTGGTGGCCTTGGCAGTGCTGGGAGAATGGTTGGACTCGATGATCTTAGAGGGCTTTTCCAACCTTAATGATTCTATGATTCCAGATGCCCCATCCTTGGAAGTGTTCCAGGCCAGATTGGACAGATCTTGGAGCAGCCTGGGGTAGTGGAAGGTGTCCCTGCCTGTGGCAGGGCTGGAACAAGATGGTCTTTAATGCCCCTTCCAACCCAAACCACTCTGTGATCCTGTTCTGGTGATGTTGGTGGGCACAGTGACTGCACAAGGAAGAGTTTGGGAAGGCTCAGGACACAGCACCGGTGCCAGTGGGTGACACGGGGGGGCTTTGGATCCAAGAGGAGCAAACAGCAGGGATTGTGGCCTGTGGTATGGAAATAGGATCCTATTTGAGCCCCTCAGGGCTTGGTCTGCACAGGCCAAGGAGATGCACTACATCTGCCCAGCTGGGTGGCACATCAGCTCTCCTGTCCTTGGAATTACTTGATCTGGAAAGGAGCTGTAATTAGCCCTGACTTTGGAGGAAAGCAGGACAGACAGGTGTGGGCAGGCCCAGATCCACTGGGCAGGATGGTGTCAGAGGGAGGATTTACACTGATGGTGCTTCCAGGGCCTGGAGACTGATTTAATTATGTGGGAAATCTCACAGGTGGCCACAGAACTCCATAAATAACACGTGATGGTGAAGAATCAGCAGCACTTAAAGACAGCACGTGAGGGAGTCTGGGAATAAAGGCAGGAGGGAGTGATCCTTCAAGAGGGTCTGAGCAGTTCCTGAGCAGTGTAAACACCAGTTCAGCTTCATTCAGGCCCTCAACCCCATCCCACTCTGGTTTGTGGAGAGAAGTGGGTTCTTACCTGAGCTGAATCTCTTCCAGGAGTGCCTCTTTCTCCCCTGGGCTGCAGGAGACACTGAGGTGGCTTCATTCCCAACTACCTGCAGCACAGCACCTCTGGAGGTGCCTGGTGCCTTCTCCTGGTTTTTCTTCTCCATCAAGGCTCATTTTTCCTGGTGATAGAACTTCCCTGGGACTGGACACTGTGTCCTGCAGAGGATTCAGCAGTGGGGACGTGGATGGAGCCTGCAGAGGACACAGCCAATTTTCTGGGAAGCAGATGCAGAGGGATAGGCTTCCAAGAAACCCTCCTGGGAATGCTGTGGACAGTGCTGTGGTTTGGATGAAAGCAGTTCTGCATCCACAGTTTGCATGGAGGGAAAGTCACCAGCAGCTTTGATCTGGACTGAAATCCCGGGAATAAACAGGAAGGGTCAGGAGGGGCTGTTGTTGTTGTTAGAACTATTGTGGTTGTTGATGGTTTGGGGTTTCTTTTGGACTCCCCAGCAGCCAGACCAGCTAGAGGAGTGACATGGAGAGTCCATGGATAAAACCCGGCCTCATCCCGAGCCAGTGGCCAAACCTGGGCAGATTCTGCACAGCCGGGATTTCACCAGGGGTTTGTTGAGTCACTTGATAACAATCTCAGCCACAGACAGATGAAATGGTTGGGGTCAGGGCCTTTCCTCTGTGATCAGTCAGGTCCCACCAAACACTCCCAGGCCAGATTGTGACCTATGGAATGACTCCAGTTTGCTTTCTCTGCCACGACCTCAGAGGGGATGGAGCGTGGCTGCATTAGTGGATCTGGAGATCCTTTGTCTCTGCTGCTGAGGGAGCCCCAGGGAACTGTGAGGACCAGCTCCCAGAGGAGCTGGAAGACCTCAAAGGATGGTGGTCCCTGGGCTCTCAGAGATGGCTGGGATGCAAGGGCAGAAGTCTGGATCAGGCAGAAGACCTTGAGCTGTGCAGGACTGAGAATAAAACACAGGGTATGGCTTGGGGCAGTCTCGCAGCTCCCCAGGAGTGCTGGTATTCCTGCCTGCTCTCCAGGGTGGAGCTTTCTTCCCAAGGGCTGGGAGGACCAGCTGTCTGAGGCATGAGTCACCCCAGCTTGAGGCACGCTATGAGTTGCAGAACCAGGTCCTGCTTTTGATCCCAGTTCCTTGTGCAAAGTGGCACTGAGAACAGGCCATATGGGACCAAGGCACGGGAATGGAGGAGGTTGGACACTGGAATGACCCCGTGAATCATCCCATAACAGATGTTCAGCAGATCACCACAAAGCGAAGTTTACAGCCCCAAAGTGTTCTCCCTTTTGTTCTCCCTCAGTTTAGCTGAGCTGAGCACATTTTCTGATCTGGAGCAAGAACGGGCCATTCCCAGTGCAACTGGGGCTCCTGCAGCTCTGGTTTGCTGTTGCAAGATGGGAATTTTTTGGAAGCAGGACCCCTGAGCCAAGAGGCTGTGAAGGTGAGACAGTGCTGAGCCTTTCTTAGGTGTATCATTGGCCTTTTTTTTGCAAAGAAGAGAAGAAACCCATATCTAAGAAGAGCAACATATTGTGGTGAAAAATGGTTCTGCTTCTCTCCTCTGTGCTTGTGAGGTCTTCTTGACCAATGAATTCCAGAGACACGGGGTGAAGTCGTAGCTCAAAGGCATGAAAATCACCTGCATGATTTAGCAATGTGTATCTGTGGAGCCTAAGTCTGAAGTGAGGATTTAGGAGGCCACTGTGTGATGTTTTCTGGGTAATTGTTTCCCATTCCATGTTGGATTCCTCCTCTTGAAATGTGGCACTTCAGTACATAATTTCTCTTTCATCTCATAGCCTTTGGACCAGCTCTTCAGGTGAGCTGGTTTTTTAATACAACCATGGAATTGTTTAGGTTGGAAAAGACCTTGAAATCACCAAGTCCAACCATTCCCCCAGCACTGCCAAGGCCACCACTGACCCATGTCCCAAAGTGCCACCTCTACATGGCTTTGAAATCCCTCCAGGGATTTGGGGACTCCACCACTGCCCTGGGCAGCTGTGCCAGGGCTGGACAACCCTTTTGAGGAAGAAATTTCCCCAAATATCCGATCTAAACTTCCCTTTGTGCAGCCTGAAGCTGTTTCCTGTCATCCTGTCCCTTGTTCCCTGGGAGCAGAGCCCGACTCCCCCCCAGCTCCCCCCTCCTGTCAGGGGGTTGCAGAGCCAGAAGGTCCCCCCTGAGCCTCCTTTTCTCCAGGCTGAGCCCTCCCAGCTCCCTCAGCTGCTCCTGGTGCTCCAGACCCTTCCCCATCTCCATTCCCTTTTCTGGACACACTCCAGCACCATGCCAGTCCTGCCTTCCAAAGGATTAGAAGTTTCTGGGATTCTTGTTTTCTCTCATTCCTTATAACATTGATGATTTGTCTTGTCCTGGTTTTCTAAGACCCCTTGGACAGAGGTTCTTGCTGTTGCTGGGTTTAGCAGCACCCAAAATCACAGGACAGTGGGATTTTGTGTTCCTCTTTCACCTTTCTTCCCACCCAACGGTGACTACAGGGCTGGACACACCATTAAAACCCTTCCACAGCTTCTCTGCCAAAAATATTCATGGAATCACAGAACAGTTTGGGTTGGAAGGGACCTTAAAGCTCATCTCATTGCAACCTGCCATGGGAACAATGCTTTCCACTATCCCAGGTTGCTCCAAGCCCCATCCAACCTGGCCTGAAACACTTCCAGGGATGGGGAGTCCAGTCTCTGGGCAACAAGAGGTTGTGCAACACTCAGCTCTGTTCGGTTTTCAGTAGCTTGTTTTGATATTTGGTCAAACCTCCCCACCTGGGGATGGTTTGTTGCTTGTCCTTGATCTCACTGTCCCCTCCAGAGCGGACTTCATGTACTGTTAGATTTTATTGTTTCTTTCTTCCTGGCGGTTTCCAGTCAAAACTTCTTTGGGTTTTTCCTCAGCAGGCATGTGTTCCAAACCTCTCCAGACTCTCATTTGATTAAACCTTTCCAAAAAAGTGTTTCCCAGCCTGGCTTGCTGGGCTCAGCAGAGGTCTCTCCAGGACAGCAAAACTCAATTTTCCTCCCACACCTTTCAGATGCTGTTGAGAGTTCACCCCTTTTCTGCAGCACTGATGGTATCTGTGCGTCCTGCTTCTCCTCATGGAATGCTGCTGTCTCCTTACACTTTGCCCTTCAAATTGCTTTCTGCCCCTCTGGGCTTTGGATCATTTGGAGATTGGATATGTTTCATTCCATCAGCCAGGCCTTTGATGGAAACAGCGATCAGGATCAAACCCAGAACAGGGAGAGAAGAAAGATTGGCTGGTTTGATCTGAAATCCTCATCACCTGCCCAGCCCTGGTTTCTGAAGGACACTGGTCTGCATCCATGTGTCTACTTGTCTCTAGGTTTCATCCCCTCTTTCCCATGTGGCTGTTGAATCCTGTTCAAAGAAGTTTAGGGAAGGAGTGAAGATTTTTGAGATAATCATTCCTGCAGTGGGAATGGACGACTGCAGAGAGCCTGGCTGTCCTTGGCCAGGGCTGTGAGTGGGTGGGAGGCAGATCAGGGGAGGCTGGAAGCCAAGGAGGGGGAGGGAGTGAAGCTGGTGATGGTTCACCTGGCTGGGTTAGGCCAGGCTTAGCCATGGAGCAGCAGCAGCGTGTGCTGGTCTTCACCCAGCCTGAAGATGAAAGAAAGATAAGATCCCTGGAAGTGTTCCAGGCCAGGTTGGATGGGGCTTGGAGACACTTGGTCTAGTGGAAGGTGTCCCTGCTCATGGCAGAGGGTTGGAATGAGATGAGCTTTAATGTCCCTTCCAACCCAAACCAGTCTGTGACTCCATGAATTTGGAATGAAGGGCTTGCTGGAGTTGCAGAAGTCTTGGGCTCATGGAGAGCAGACAGGGAACCAACCTTCCTTTATTTCACTGCTCACCAATCCCTTGAGATTATCACTTTTTTAGGACTTTTCCCAGGAGCCCCAGCTGGACTGACTGCCCTGTAATTCCCACGTGCTCTTCCTTTCCCTCTCCCTTATTTGTCAGACCCCTCAAAGTCAAACAGGTGTCTGGTAGTGGCTGGGAGATGAATAACTGGCACAGAATCCCACAAAATCCTGAGTTGGAAGGGATCCAGACAGATCAAGTCCAACTCCTGGCTCTACACAGGATAACCCCAAGAATCCCACCATGTGCCTGAGAGCACAGCACGGGGGGAATGGCACCAAACTGTTTTATTCCATCTGCCTTTCTTACATCCCCCCTGACCGCTCTGTGTATGTTTTGCTTCGTGTTTGAGGTAGAACAGACATTTTTCACCACTGAGCACCTTAATAAATGAAAAAGCCTTGACTGCGTCATCCTCTTCCATGCCAAGCTTCATCTTCCCTCTTTCCTGTAAATGAGAACCTGTATTGTTTCTTCTCTTGGCCTTATTCCTAAGGCATTTCCAGTGCCTTTCCTTACTTTATGCTCCCGGACAGTTGCCTCAGGATTTCGTGATGTCCCTTTGAGTTACCAGCCAGATGTGAATGTCTCTGGGAATTTCTTTCTGAGAAGTACAACCTCTCACTTCCCTGAGATCATCCTCTCTGTTGTTTGGATCTATCCATACCTGATGGGATATTTAATAGATTCACAGCCTGGAAATAATTACTACTGTGGCCAAAAAGTGTCAGGCATATCCATGGCTGATTTCAAGAGGGAGATGGCCTGTACTCAAAGGGATTGTGTATCCAGGGCTGGATTTTGAGATTTCTGGGAGCATTATTACAAATATATACAATAATATCCAAATGAGCCAATAAAAACCTCTATTTTCCAACCAATTTATTATTACTTTTAGGTTTTCATATTATTCATAAGTATTTCTTTTCCACTCTAGGAACTCCTGGGGTTTTGCTCTCCCGGGTGAACTGCTGGGACTGGCCTGGAATTTGCACCCAGGAGAATGTCACCCAGTTTCCCACCATTAAGATTTATGGGAAGGGAGAGAAGTCAGTGACATATGATGGCATGTGGGGAACTGAAGAGCTCACCAGCTTCATCATCCTGTAAGTGAGGAGTCCCCACATGGGGAGAGCTGCCAGATCCACATCTGGATACTTCATGATCTGTATAATGGAAATCCCTCCTGGGAAAATAATGCCAGATCTGATTATAGACCTAGTTTGGAAATTAATCTAATAACTTTTTGTGCTTTTCAGTCTTAGGGAACATCTGTTCTTGCACAGCACATCCTTCTGTTGTCACTGTCCCATTTTTTTTTCTGCTGGAATTCCCTCTCTGTTATTTTTATTGGGGATCCCAAGGATCTCAGAGCAACCAGAGTGGCTCAGGGCTGTTCTCTCTTCCTCGTAATCAGCTCCAGTGCCTTTCTCTGTCTGTCCTGCCTTCCCAGATGACTAATTTTTGTCTCTACTGAGGCATGACAGTTGTCACATGGGGCTGGGGGCCCTGTTGGATTGAGGTTGCCCTTTTGGCTCTTCCTCCCAAAGACCCACGTTGTTCCTCTGCCTTTCCATAGGAGCCGAGTTTCCTGCCCGCTGAAACTGGCCACGATGGATGAAGCAGAAGGTTATTTAAGAGGAGAGTTTCCACCTGAGCTGTCATCCCATCGCCACACTTCCCTTCTGGGAGTGTTTAGCACAGCCACAAGTGAAGGTCAGTGTGGTGTTTGTGGGTTAAGCACTCTTCAGCTTCATTCCTGGTGGGAGAGGGATGCTTCCAGGTTGCTTGGAAGTTCACAGCACAGCCTGCCTGGCACTACCCTTTCTAGTTTTACAAAGAGAGGATTGCAGGTCATTTCAGATGTGGGACCTGAGGTCCATACCTTGCTCAGAGGACCTTCAGCTGCCAAGTGTGTTTACTACACCCAGTGTGGGAGCAGTAACTTCCCAACAATCTGTCCCTGTTGTATCTCCTGCCCCTTACCCTGAAGAGTTTGGCTCTGTCCTCTCTGTGAGTCCCTTCAAAATAGTTGTAGGCTGGCATTAAATTCCCTCTTGGCCCCAGATCCATCAGCCATCCATTCTTCACAGCATATTCTTCCTTAAAGAAAGCCCTTTCCACTCTTGGATTCATGGTTATCTTGCTGATTCCTCCTGAAAATGGGGTGGTCCCAGTTCTTCAACACACAATCCAAAACCTTTACTTTTTTAAAAAACTAAACCAGCAGTAAGGTGAAATACAGATTTCCTGCCTCAAAAGGACTGAAATGTGAATAACTCAGTGAAATCCAGTTGTGAATTTTGGAATAGGTGGACACAGAAATGCAAAGCAGAGCTGCTGGAAGGAGCGTCCTGAACTTGTTTGGATTTGTCTCACTCCGTAGTCTCGGTCAGTGCAGTCCTGGGCAGTGGCTGAAACTTGGAGCAGTGACATCTCCCTACCCTGCTTGCTCTGAGTCACTGGGATGGGCTCCAGTATCATCCCTTCCCTGCCATAGCTGTGGTCCAGGATCCACTGGGTTCCCACAGCCCTTTGCAAAAACAGGGAAATGGATCCCAGAGCTGCGGTGATTTTTCATGTGACAATCGTATCTGATGGCAAGGGACAGGGAATAAAGTCAGTCTGGAAAGGGAACATCATGTCGTGTTTCAGGCAAATCATAGAATTATGGGATGGTTTGGGTTGGAAGGGATTTTAAGGATCATTTTTTCCTGCCCCCTGCTGTGGGCAAGGACACCTTCCACTAGCCCAGGTTGCTCCAAGCCCTGTCCAACCTGGCGTTGGACACTTCCAGGGATGGGACAGCCAGAGCTTCTCTGGGCTGGGCTAAAGGTTTTTGGGGATCAGTAAGATTTTCTGCTATATTTACCACATTAGATGGTCCTGAAGAAAACAGGGAATTAGCTGTCAGCTGGCTCAGTGAGCACAGCCCAAGTGTTTTCCAGTTGGTTCCAGACATTCTATTTTGTTCTTATCTCTGGGCGCAGTGGATTCCCTCTGGAGCCCCTCACGTGAGAAAGTAGCTTGGTTTGCAATAAACCAAAGTTCAGAGGCACAACAGAGCTTTAAAATAAAAAATAGTCTGAAAGTTTGATCTTAAGCAAGATCAGAAAGTTCTCCTTTTTTCAAGGCAGTGATTCCTGGGGGAAGCAACTGAGAGGCCGTGGGGTGGGAAGGTCCCAGCTCCACAGTGTGAAGCCCTGGCACAGGTTGCCCAGAGAAGCTGTGGCTGCCCCATCCCTGGAAGTGTCCAAGGCCAGGCTGAACAGGGCTTGGAGCAACCTGGGCTAGTGGAAGGTGTCCCTGCCCGTGGCAGGGGGTTGGAGCTGGATGATCGTTCAAATCACTTCCAACTCAAACCATCCTGGGATTCTCTATAGAAGTTGTTCATCTCCTCCCTTGTGCAAACAAGAGCGTTGGAGGTTTCCAGACAACTCTTTCCCTCTTCCCTCAGGGCATATCCATCCACAATCCGGAACGGCATCCGCAGTCTGGGGTAACTCAGCCGCAGGTGCCAAGGGAGATGAAATTCGGGAAGTTGTTCTCCTCCCATAACCCGGGGGTGTTGGAGCCTCCCGCAGAATGGCCTGAGGGAGCAGAAAACTGGAGCCAGCTGTTCAGGCACCAAACCAGGCTGGAGTCGGGAAAACCACACTGCTCCTCTTATCAACCTGTGGGCTTATCTGGAATTTCCAGTCGTTTTCTCACGGCAAGAATTCCTGCTCTATCCTGCACCAGGTCGTTGGCCATTTCTAGTGAACTGAGACAGAGATGTTCGGCTAAATAAATCCCTGGATTTTTTCCAACCCTTAGCGCGAGGACTATGTTAAGAAGCCCTTTGGTGGGTCTGAGCTAAAAGAGGCTTGTGGGAAAAATCATAATTAATATTTATTAAGAAGAGGGGAATGGTATTATGAGGGCAACGAACGAGCGTTTTCCTGGAAACTTGCAGAATTTTTAGAGGAGCGGTTTGTTTTCTGTGCAGAAACTGGAAGATCCTTGGAAGTAAGACTCTGTCCTAAACCCTGGGGCAAATATTTAAAAATAAACCTGTGTCCTGTGCTGCTCTGGTGCCTCACAGGGCTTGGCAGCATCAGTGGAAGCCAAGTGTGCAAGGAGTGAGAGATGCTCCAGGTGCTGCTGGAGAGCACGGTCAGGAGATTCCTCCTTCCAGAGGGATAAGGGGAGGTGCTCAGATCCTGTCTCCCAAAACTCTGCAGGGATTTTAGACCCTTCCTCACGTGGCAGCTTTGTTCCTTCTTGTTCCCAAGGCAGCTGGGATTCCAGCTCGAGGGATGTGCTGCAGTGCCTGATCAGGTGCCACAGGGTCTTGCAGCAGGGCTCTCAGAGGGACTGATTTCCTAGGAAATATTGAAATAGATTCTTTAGAAGTGCATCTTCTTTGTGAACCTGGGGGGTTTCTGGCACAGAGCTGAGAGGCTGTTGCTATGAGCTGTGCAGAATTACAGGCTGGTGTGTGGCTCTGGGTCTGGCACAGCCCCCAAAATATGGAACAATTTGGAATTGTGAGAGGGAACGAGGATTTCAGCAGGAATGACCCTGATGAAAGGAGTAAACCTGGATTCTGCTGAAGGTTGTCCTTATTTAGAAGAGAATTCCAGCAGCCAGAGCTGCTCCAGGCACTTCAATACGAGCTTATGTCTCCAGGGAGGATTTAAAACCTCTAGACCTGCTCCTTGGAGGAGCCTGGGATGTGAACTTTTCCTTCAACGCTAATTAAATCAGGTAACCAAAGACCAAAAGAGCTGGAAACCAACTTCAAACCTAATCAAGAGTGGTTTCTCTGTATCTCAAGATGAACCAGCCAAACTCTGTCACCAGCTGTGTTGTGTGTGTGTTGTTTCCTACTAAGTACATGGACCTGTTGGAGCAAGTCACAGGAGGCCGTGGAGATGCTCCAAGGGCTGGAGACCTTCTGCTCTGGAGACAGGCTAGGAGAGCTGGGGGTGTTCAGCCTAGAGAAGAGAAGGCTCCTGGAAGACCTGAGAGCCCCTTCCAGGGCCTAAAGGGGCTCCAAGAGAGCTGGAGAGGAACCTGGGACAAGGGCTTGGAGGGACAGGACAAGGGGGAATGGCTTCAAATTGACAGAGGGCAGGGTTAGATGGGATATTGGGAAGGAATTCTTCTTGGGTGTGAGGGTGGGGACACCCTGGCACAGGTTTCCCAGAGAAGCTGTGGCTGCCCCATCCCTGGAATTACTCAAGGCCAGGTTGGATGGGGCTTGGAGCAACCTGGGCTAGTGGAAGGTGTCCCTGCTCATGGCAGGGAGTTGGAATGAGAGGAGCTTTAAGGATCCTTCCAACCCTAACTATCCTGGGGTTCTATGACAACGTCTGAACCCTCGATGGGACACTCCTTAAGGGTCTAAGCTTCCATTTGAAAAGGAAAATAGCTTAAATGACAGTTTATGGTCCCTGTGGGACACAATGGAAAATATAGCTTTGGGTGTAGCTGGAAAAGAGGAGTCAAAGAACCAAAAAGTGACCATTGGTGAGGCAGCCCCGTCTACTGAGGTGAGTCAAAGGTCCCAGGAGCTTGGGCTGGCCCGTCGTGCCGTGACAGTGAATGTTCTGAGGAACACAACTGGTGTCTGACTGATCTCACTGAAGTTATAAAGCAACATATATCATGGCTGTATCTGAGACAGAACCTTGATTCTCAGCAAAAACCTGCCTTCTCCAAAGAGGGACATTTCTCACTCTCCCTAAGTCAGAAGAGCCTTTTCGGTTGCTCTCGGTTGCTCAATCCAAAGGAGGAGGAGTGGTAGTGGTGTTGAAATCCGCCCTGTTCTCACCCCACCTTTGGCAGCAGCTGTTTGGATCTCTGGTCTCTCTGACTGCATTGCACAAGCTCACACACAGTGCTTTGCATGTTCCCACAAAGCTTGGCTTTCCCGTGGATCCAACTGCCGAAAACCAGGGCTTGGAGTGACCTGGGCTAGTGGAAGGTGTCCCTGCCCGTGGCAGGAGGTTGGACTAGATGAGCATTAAAGTTCCTTCCAACCCAAACCATCCTGGGATTCTTTGAAAACTGAGGCTGTTTTATAAGGGAATAAACCAGTTCTGGAGTCAGCTTCCTTCTGGGGCTCTGCTCTCAGTCTCAGCTGTGACAGATCAAAAGAGCCCCGAGCTGCTCCTTCCCCATCCTATGACAGTCCCAGCCTGCTCAGAGGAACTGGATAAAACCAAGGCACTCGTAGGAGAGGTTGGTTTATCTCTGGGCTCTTAACACTACTCCTGTAAAGTCATCATCTGTCATTTCCCAAAGGTCACTGGGATTAGTAAGATTTCTGTTTGGACTTATAATTGCTCCCGTTCCTGAGAACACTTACATGGACTTAAAGCCCTTAAAGACATTTCATTTTCCAGCAGTTCCTCTACCACGAAACCTGGAAACACAGGGCTGGTGACTGAAGAGCAAACCCTCTTCTCAGAATGGGAATTTTCCTCTCATCCTTGGTCACTGCCAGCTCCTCCTCCCATGGCCCGTGGCCCTGAGCTGCAGCCATTTCTCATGAGCCTCTAATCCCGGTTTCATTCCCGACAGTTCGCCGTGGGAGGGTGTTACGTGTGCAGGCATCCATTGGTTTCCAGGAGGAACCTCAACACCTCCCTTTCTATTGTTTATTCTTGTATTTTTATCTTTTTTTTTTTTTTCTCCAGCCAGGGAAGCTTTTGAAGAGGCGGGAAACATCCTAAGTGGCCACGTAATGATGGGGATGTATTTTGAAGATGATGGCTTGGCTTTGTAAGTTGTTTCTCTTTTTCCCTGGGAATTATTCAAACTGGTCTGCATTTAGAGAAAGGCAGTGCCTGGAGCAAGTGTCACTGGCCAGGCTGAGTGACTTAGTCCTGCAGGGAGACTGGGAGATTGCTCAGGACTCATCCCAAGGGAGTTGTGACCTTGGTTCTGCCACTGATTCTCAGCCTGTCCATGGTCAACTCACTCAGCCCTGTTCAGTCCTCCAGCCCTGCCAGCCCCCCTGGATCTGGTTGTGTTCCTCACACAAACTTCTATGGAGGGGAAAAACAGGCTGGAAAAACTATACCATCAGTGTGTGAGGGAATAAAAAGAGCTCTGCCCTTCTCTTTCCATCAGGAAAAAGTGGTGGATTGTCCCTGGCTTTCCTCTTTGTGCAGTCCCTTCACTTGCTCTGATGGCTTCCCCCAGTTGGCAAGAGCAGCCAGGAGAGGGGCTGTGGAGTGGGCATTGAGCTGGGAACAGGAAAAGGCTTTGGAAGTCTGGAAATAAATGCTGTCTTGCCATGGAGCTGCCTTGGAGTTTTGGTCTCATCCAGCTTCCCTGTGGGCTCTTGCATCTAGCTGGGAGCTGCCAGGGATAGGGAGGAATCTACCTCTGTCTTTTCATCCTCTTACCATGGATCTTTTTTCCCTGATAGATGTTCCCCCCTTATCCCTCCCCCTGGCAAGGGCAAGATGTTGCCACCATTTCCAGACAGAGCTTTGGGAGGAAGAGTGCTGGAAAAACACAGCAGCCTTCCTCCTGCACACATGGTGAAGGCAAAGTCAAGGCTTCCTTGGCCAATTCCTGGTGGAATAAGTATCGGTTGCATCCCTAACTGTGAGCCAAATTGGAGCTTATGGGATCTGAGCACTTAACTGCGTCATTAAGATTCCAGCAAGGGGCAAAGTGCTTTGGATTAAGAGTGTGAGAGATGCTTCAGTGCCTAGGAAAGCAGGGAGATCCAGGGGGAATCTTCAGCTTCTCATTTCCCTGAGGAATTAGCTATCAAATCAGAGTTAAAAATCCCAGAAGGTCCTTGGCCTGTTTTCCAGGTGTGGGTTTAACAGCCTGTAATGCAGCAGGGAATTATTTTCATTAGTTTCCTACGGATGTGATGCCTCCCTCAAGAGACACGGGAATTTCTGTGGTGTAAAAAGACCTTGGGAATACTTCTCCAGCAACCAAACTGGGCTCCATGCTTGGATCTTGGAAGTGAGGCAGTGCCAGGCTTGTTGGGATGGGAGATCACTGGGCAGGTCCCAAAATCATAACCCCCCAAGACTTTTCTTCCCTAAGGATCTCAGCTCAGCTGATAAAGGGGAAAAAGCAAAGGAGGGGAGGATCATCTTACAAGGTACCAGCAGAAAAAGCCTGTGTTCTCTCACCACTGACACATGCAAGAACAGACCTCCCTGCTCCTATTCCAGGAGTCTCCAGCCTGCTCCTGTTTAGCTGGAATATTTAGTACAGTTTATATTGATACTCCTTCTGCCAAATTTGGATTTTGGCCGTGATTTGTGGGTGAAGCTACTGTAGCTGATCATCTTCTCAACTGTAAGTAGAAAGTAAACACTTACAGGAATTCCTTATGCAAGAGCCAGGCTCACTTCCCTTCTTGAGAAAAAGAAAAGCTATTCCTCTGCTCGAGGCTCAAGGAGAAAAATATTTGTGGCTCCCAGGTCACGGAGAGCTGATTCCCCTCTTTCCAGAGAAAGAGATCTGCAGGAAACACAAAGGTGTTGTTGGCAAAGCTGTTTGCTCAGCAGGCACCTGCTCTGCTGGTCACTAATGAGGGGGAAAAAGGCATTGAGGAAGAAATGCTTTGAATGAGGTCGTTATTTATTTCCACATCCATGTCTCAGGTTCCTGCCAAGCATTTGTTTGCAGATGTTTTTGATTTAAATGCAAGACTCGTGTTACCCAATGAATGGCCCTGCTGTATAAATAGAAAGCTGTCCCAGGCAACAATACAACCCCTCAGTACCAGGAAGATGGGAAGGGATTTCAGGGTAGACTCTGCCTGGGGAATTTGGTGGTTTGCTGGCAGTATATAAAAAATTTCCTTATAGAATCATGAAATAGAATCCCAGAGTGGTTTGGGTTGGAAGGGACCTTAAATCCCACCTCATTCCACCCCCTGCCATGGGCAGGGACACGTTCCACTAGACCAGTTTGTTCCAACCTGGCCTTGGGTACTTCCAGGGATCCAGGGGCAGCCACAGCTTCTCTGGGCAACCTGTGCCAGGGCCTCACCACCCTCACAGACCCATGAAAGGCTGCTGAACAAGTTGATGTACTCTAGACACAGGGAGCAAGAGTCCTCACCTCCTCTCAGCCATGACCAAGCCAGAGAATCTCTTTAAAACCTGTGGAAGTTTAGGAAGTTCAAAATCCCTGAATTAATTTTTTTTTTTAAGGTTTTGCCACTCTTAATGAATGGTAAATAGAGGTTAATTTGCAAAACAGCACAGAGGAAAGTTGAGGATCTTCCTCACAGCTCAAAGGATTCTCAGAGGTGTGAGGCTCAATTCCATAGGAGCTGGACATCATGGAAATACCAGCAGTTTCCTCCACTTGCTTTGTCATTGATGACCTAAAGAAATCCTTAGAGGGTGGTGAGGCCCTGGCACAGGTTGCCCAGAGAAGCTGTGGCTGCCCCTGGATCCCTGGAAGTCTCCAAGGCCAGATCGGACAGGGCTTGGAGCAACGTGGGCTAGTGGAAGGTGTCCCTGCCCGTGGCAGGGGGTGAAACAAGGTGGTGTTTAAGATCCCTTCCAACTCAAACCATTCTGGGATTCTTGGATTCTATTCCTACTTCTCTTTCCTTTTCACTTCCAAGGTTGGGTGGTGCAAGCACCCACCCAGGGCTTCACTCTGCCTCCCAAGCCAAGGCAAACAGAAGGTCTCAGACTCTCAGATTCAGAAGGACTCTCTGTCCCTCCAAGGGACACAACTCACACAAAATAAGCACCAGGAGATCTAATTTTTGGCTTAGGGAACAAGCCAAAAATTTTGGTGAAGTCCAGCCCCACGTTAGAGCAACATCCCCAGGCTGCACCCACAGACTCTTGGGGGAGTAGCTCATGCTTTGTTCCTCAGTGCTCTTCAGATAACAGGGTTCAAGGGTTTTAAAGAAAAGCTGAGAAAGTGGAAAAAGCAAAATTAGGAGAAGTCTGAGCAGTGAAAGGGCAGGAGGGACATCAAGATGGGAGAGCAGTTTTCTGGAAGTTTGAGGAACTTCAGCCCTGCAGGCTCCAGATGTCACTGCTCAGAGGAAGGGTGAGACAGAGGAAATCAGTGGCCTCAGCAGTTTTTCTGGGGCATGTCTAGTTTATTTTTCTAAGGCTGCTGGAAATTTTTCAAAGGTCATGACACCAGAATTCAGAGAATCACAGGATGGTTTGGATTGAAGGGAACTTAAACCTCATCTCATTCCACCCCCTGCCATGGGCAGGGACACCTTCCACTATCCCAGGTTGCTCCAAGCCCCATCCAACCTGGCCTGGAACACTTCCAGGGGTGGAACTTCCCTGTCCCTACTTGTCCCCAGGAGGATGCCAGCTCTGTCTGCAGTGCATTTGGTGTGTGTCCAGTTCTCCAGCCAATCCTTGTTGCCATCCCTCTTTCCCAGATCCCGTAAATACTCCGTGTCCCCCCCAGCCCTCCTCCTTGCCCGGAGCGGAGGTCGGAGCGTGGAAGGCATCTCTTTGTCCAAACAGAGCGTGCAGGACATGGTGCAGATGATCAGATATGAACTGCTGGACATTTTTGTAAGTAAAAGAGAATAAAAGTGTCCTTTTCCCCTGATTGCAGCACGGAGCTCTGCAAAACAAACATGTCTGCTCGTTACTTTCATCATGCTGAGTTTGTTTTCGAATTTTATGGCTTGGATCGGGGAGTCTGGGCAGAAATCTGCTGTTTGCTGGGTGGTCTCGGGGGAGGAGACCCTGGAGGTGATGGAATGGCCTCGTAGTCACTGACCTGCTGCTGTGGTGGCTTGGCCTCTCGCAGGCTCTGCTCCCAGCCTTTTCCACGTGCCTTTGGAAGACTGGTTGTAGCTGTAAGACATGGATCTGGGATGAGCTGGCCTTGCTTCTCCTCTGCTCACGCCCACCTTGTCCCAGCTGCTCCTCTGGACTTGACGTGTGATGGGCAGGGTTGGGCATATTCATCTCCAACGTGCACCAGAATCCTAGCACCCAGTTGTTTTCCAGCCCTTGGATACCCCACCCTTGCTTAACCTCTGCACCCCTCCTGTAAGGACAGAAAGTCAAATTTTCCCCTTTTTTTTTCCTCCCCATAAACCCCAACTTCTTGTTTTGATGTCTTGCAGCCCGAAATCACCGTGCAAAATCTGCCCCAGTACTTGCAGCTCACCAAGCCCTTCCTCATCCTGTTCAGTGACGGTGACATCAGTAAAATGGAAAGCAAGGAAATGCTGAAGCTGGCAAAAGGAAGACCCCAGCAGGCATTTGTGGCTTGCTGGTTGAACCTGTGAGTGTGCGAAAACCTCTCTCCTCCTTTCCGTTCGCTCGCTCTGAGCATTTTCAGGGCGAGGAAAAAAAACCTGAGGCTGCAATTACTGAAAACACGAGCTGGCAATTTGATTATTGGGTCTGAAATGATCATGAGTTGGGAGGTCAAGCCACTTAGCAATGATTCAGTCTGTGTTCTGGGCAGCTGCAAAATTGCCTGACAAAGTTAAATTAGTAAATGTTTAATTGATTGCAGAAACAATTTTCGATAGAGTAAAATGCTCTCAAGGATGTTGTGTAGTAGCTTGACCTTGGGTCTGGTGTTATTTGTATTTTTGTTGCACGTGGGAGTAAAAGAAGAAAAGAAATTTGCCCTCCTGGAATGTCTTATGGTGATTTTCCACCAGCAATTAGAGGGAATGACTGGTCATTGACTGGGAGAAGAAAGTTCAGCCAGAAGAAGCCCCACAAAGAAAACTTCAAAAATATTCAAGAAACAATGAGTCCAAGAGCTAAGAAATAGAAGGTTGCAGGAAAGGGGATTTTTTTATAATCCTCTCCTCCCTAGTTGCATTTTTAATTTTTTAGCCTCTCTTTGTTTTGCCCAAGCCCAGAGACACCTCAGTGACTTAATCATAACGTGCTTTGAAGTCTGGGCAGAGCCGTCCAGCGTGGGCTGGGTTGAGCTATTGGGGAATGCACATGTTTTCAGAGAGCAGGAGATTTGTTTGCCAGTAAAGCACAAGAAATGAGTGCCCTGGAACTTCCCCACCTACGCATCAGCCCCTGCTCTCCCTCCCTGACAAACTCCCTATAGGGAGTCTCTGTCCTTTCAGGGGGTCCTGTGGTGTCCCTCTCCTTGGGGGGGATCACTGTGGGATCCTTGTCCTGGCATTGGGGTCCCTGGTCTCATGTGGGAGGTCCCTCTACTTGTAGGGCTTCATTGCTACTTCCTCATTCTTGCAGAGGGTCTAAACCCACTGTAGGGTGTCTTTGAACTCATATGAGGTCCCTGTCCCTGAAGAAGCATCCCTGCCCTCTGAGGGGGTACACAGGGGACTCCAGCAGATGAAGGGAGCAGGGTGTGCCTCCCACAGGGAGCCACATCCCAGGGCAGGGCCCTCCTGGGGACAGCCAGGATGGAAGGGGACAAGGAGCCGCCTGAAAACTCCGGTCTGTGGGACTCCCGGGCAGCCCCAACACAGACCAACAGCTGCTGCAGTCTGGAAAATCCCACACAGCCAGATGGAAGAGGGCATTGGAGGGGGACAGGGCAGGAGGAGGTCACTGTGAGGAGAGCAAGGAGGAATTAGCAGGAGCTGAGATCTGCAGAGAATGAAATGCTGAAGGTGGCACTGTCAGGCTGCTGCCAGGGGTAAAATATCCCCTTCCTCTCTTTGGGCAAGAAACTGGAGGGGACCTGTCTGTAAGTGCAAGAAATCAGTCTCAGAATTGCAGAATGGTCTGGGTTGGAAGGGACCTTAAAGGTCATCCAGTTCCACTGCCCTGCCATGGGCAGGGACACCTTCCACTAGCCCAGGTTGCTCTAAGCCCCGTCCAACCCAACCTGGAACACTTCCAGAGATGGGGCAGTCACAGCTTCTCTGGACAACCTGTGCCAGGGCCTCCCACCCTCACAGCCAACAATTCCTTCCCAATATCCCATCTAACCCTGCCCTCTGGCAGTGGGAAGCCATTCCTTCTTGTCCTGTCCCTCCATGCCCTTGTCAAAAGTCCCTCATCCTAGAAAGAGGATCTCATTCCTGTGGCAAGAGCCAGCTCAGACCTGGAGCATCACTCAGCCTGAAAACAGTTCCAGAAGGGCTCAGCATCTTCATGGGCTTGCTGTCCCTCTCTCTCAATGTCACTCTCTGTCACTTGGGGAAGTTGCCATCCCATCCCTGCCTCTGGAGAAGCCCCAGTGGCTGGACCACCTGAGCACAGCCCTCTGCATCAGCTCCTGCCTTTCCATCCCTGTGGAATTGCTGCTGCTGTGGGACAGTGGCAGCAGCTGGGCTGGAAGGAGCTGGCAGCTCTCCCTGCAGACAGGGACTAACCCCGGGGGGCTGCGGGAACCTGTCATGCTCCAGTCTCACCTGTTCTTAAAAACTTAAGGTGGAGAACATTTCCCACCTTCCTACAGAGTTTTCGCTGCTCAAGGATTCTTTGTGCATCCAATTTCCTGTCCATTCCCTCTCTGTTGGATCCAAATAGGTTCCTTAAGGCACTGAGCTTATTGAGCTTAGAATCATGAATGGTTTGGATTGGAAGGGGCCTTAAAGACCATCTCATTCCAACCCCCTGCCATGGGCAGGGACACCTTCCACTATCCCAGGTTGCTCCAAACCCCATCCTACCTGGCCTTCAACACTTCCAGGAATGAGGCTCCTACAGTCCCACAGGCAAAACTGGGCTTTGTTGGATGTTACCCAAGGGATTTGGTGCTTGCTTGGCTCTTAGCGTTGCTATGCTCCCAAACCTGAATCTCCTCTTCCCAACAGGAAGAAGACTCCAGTGGGATATGGGATCCTGAGGACGTACTTTGCCGCTGTGCCTTCGCTGCCCGTGCTCGTCTGGGTGAACCTCCACGCCGGGGGTCAGGTTTTCCAGTTCCCACCAGAACAGTCCATCACTGAAGTGAACATCTTGTCTTGGCTGGAGAAGGTCCAAGCGGGACTGGAGACTCCCAGCTGTGAGTGGACACAGGTTTATAACGTTCCTAAGCACACACTGTGAGCTCCAGTCTGTTTATGAGAAGACACTACATGCAATAAATTGTCTGCCCTGGAATTTAATGATGGAAAAACTAGCTCTGCTAGTCAGGGCTGGAGAAGTACAAATAGTTCAGCCAGGAGACAATACCCACACTCACAAGTTTACTCTGGGACTGTTTAATGTTCAGAGCCAAACGTGAATAGTTGGGAATCGACATCTTTTCCCTGTGAAAATCCCCAAACGTTCTGTGCTCTCCCATTGCTCCAAACAGACCTGAAGCAGAGCTTGCTATTAAAACATCTCCCAACTCCCAGTTGTCAGTGTAAGAAACAGCTGATCTTCAGGCACCTCCTAGCATTTTTTTTTATAGGAAGGGATAAGGAAGCTGGTGTCTTGCTGTGGTCTTTGGGACATAAATGGTTGGCACATTCTGTGAAGCTTTTCAATGCCTTGATCAGCCTGAGGAAGCCTTGGAAGAAGGCAGCAGGGATATACCTTCCTTGAGAAAGCTGGAGAGGCACTTCAGACAAAGGTCTGGAGGGACAGGACAAGGGAGAATGGCTTCCCATTGAGAGAGGGCAGGGTTAGATGGGATATTGGGAAGGAATTGTTGGCTGTGAGGGTGATGAGGCCTTGGCACAGGTTTCCCAGAGAAGCTGTGGCTGCCACATCCCTGGAATTACTCAAGGGCAGATTGGACAGGCTTGGAGCAACCTGGTGTGGTGGAAGGTGTCCCTGCCCATGGCAGGGGGTTGGAATGAGATGGACTTTAAGGTCCCTTCCAACCCAAACCATTCTAGGACTCTGTGATTCTTATGTGTTATGAGTAGCCATGAAATGCTACAGGGATCTTGGGAATTACTGGCTGCCAGCCTGCTCCAGGCTCTGGAAAGGATATGAGGTGACTACACTTATATTTAAATATTTCAAAATGAGTCTTTCAGAGCAAATGTTTCCAAATGCTGGCGTGAACTTGGTGGGGTAGGGTGTGTAGGCTGTTGCTGGAGCTGAAGGCACCGTTTCTGACCCAATTCTCCTGTGAGAACCCCATGAACCAGCCCTCCTCCCACTCCTTTTTCCGTTTCCACTGCTGAGGACACCTGGCTGCCATGTAGGTCTCTAGGTAGGGACCTTAGTTTTCAGGTCAGCTCGTGTCTGAGCATCTCACCACATCCCAAGATCCAAGGGCATGGCTCAAGGACAGCCTTGGCCAGCTCCAGTAAACATGAATTCACCCCTTGGCTGGTTTAGTTTGGGTGGCAATATGAGTTTTGGAGGAAAGAGGGTGCCCAGGGAAGTTGTGGCTGCCCCATCCCTGGAAATGTTCAAGGCCAAGTTGGGTGGGGCTTGGAGCAACCTGGTCCAGGGGAAGGTGTCCCTGCCCACAGCAGAGGAGTGGAATGAGGTGATCTTTAAGGTCCCTTTCAACCCAAACCTGGTTCAACCCAACTTGGGTCAACCCAAGTCTGGGATTTTACAATTTTATCATCTTTAAGAAAAGATTTTTAATTTTGTATTTCCTGAAAGAGCAAAAAAAAAAAAGGGAATTATCCCTTTGGAGGATGAGGCATAACTCTTTAACTTACCGACATGGGACTGTATTTGCTCCTCAGGTACCTTGTCCGAGGAGGACTGGAAACCGCCGCTCCCTGCTTACGACTTCCTTCAGATGATGGAGGCGGCCATGCCCGAGCTCCCCCTCCACACTTCCCACCACCCTGGGGACGTGCCAGCGCAGCATCCACCCGAGAACCCAAGAGGGGACACTGCCACCCGGGAAGAGCCACCCCAGGAGAGCGCGGCAGGGAAAGCTGGATCCCCCGGGAGGGACCTGCGGGGCACAGCCCCGAGACTGGCGGCCAGGGAGAAGCAGGGCAGGAGACACAGCGAGCTCTGAGGGCTGGGGCAGGGAAATGTGGGGCTGCCCACGGGAACCTCGCGCTTTCCCAGCCCTCCCTGGGCCTCTGCACCAAGGAGACAAGTGGTTTGAGCTGTAAGTGAGTGGTGAAGGGGTAAACCAGCCCCCTGCTGCAGCGTGTTTCCAATGCCAGAGACGTGTCTGTACATCCCACATGTTGCTCCCTGGCTGCTGTTGGGAGCTCCTCATGCAACGAACTACACTGGGAAAGACAAATCAGCACAGCCCTGCTCTGTAGTTTCCCTAAATCTCACAGAGTCACTTTGGGAAGGGGTGAGTGATTCCAAGATAAAAAGCCGGTTTCCTCCCTGGTCTAAGTAGGAGCTCTACAGATGGGCGTCAGCAAGTCCTGCAATTCCATCTGCACCATCTGAACCATGTGGAGCCAGGATGGCCAGTGTTCCACCCACTCCTGGGCTGCTCCAACCAGCACCTGCTTGTGCTTACACCTGACTTGTGACCCAAACTCGTGAGTGTGTTCATCCTTGGGGGTAAGAGAAGGATCTGGTTAAAGCAGATTTGTTACTGAGGCCAGAGCTCAGCTCACACAACAGCCCTGAATAGCTGGGACAAAACTCTGCCAGCAAATCCCGAGGGTGGGCAGCTTGGGAGATGGCTTTCCTCACTGCTGGCATTTTCTTGGGCACAAGCCCAGGAGGTTATTTGCAGCCTCGGTTTTTCTTTGCTCTTGGTGAGAGCGGCGAGGTTGGTGCTTCCTGAGCTGGGAATGGTGCTGGGAGTGAGGTCTGTGGAAAGCCCAGGACTGTGGAAATGAGGGGAGGGAGATGAAGGGCATCTGGACCCTCCCAGGATGGGATGGAGCTGCTTCACATCCATGATTAGATGAGGAGATGCAGAACCTGGGGAAGTGGCTTTCCAGCCTTTGCCCATCTCCTGGGGACAACAAATGCCAGAGGGTTGGAACTAGATGGTCTTTAAGGTACCTTCCAACCCAAACCATTCTGGGATTCTGTGATCATCCCACCCCCTTCAATAACAATCTCCCTTCCACAGCACCCCTGAGATGTACTGGGAGGGTCAGACCCTCCTCCTTCTCCTTAGAGCTCTGAAATTCCCGGGAAGGGGAAAATTGATGGTAATGCTGAGAGTGTTGTAAACTGTGTTTCTCATCCTGCAAACAGCCCACATGGTTGGGAGTATTTTGAAATGCCCAGAAATAGATCATTAGTTCTGGGCTCTCCTGGAAGCCCTTAATTGAATCAGACCAGTTTTGGACTGAATGACAGGCTTTGAGTCAAAATGTATATACTTAAAGGAATAAACTGCGGCATGCTGATCAGAGGCAGTATTCCCAAGGGAATGGGAAGGTCAGGGTGTGAACAGAACCTCTGTGAGTTCCCGTCATTTCTCTGCTCTATAAGGTCCTCGCGCTGCTGGACCCCATGAACTGTACATTGGTCATTTCCCGTCCTGTTCCTAATCACAGAATCCCAGAATGGTTTGGGTTGGAAGGGACCTTAAAGCCCATTTTGTTCTACACCCTGCCATGGGCAGGGACACCTTCCACTGTCCCAGGTTGCTCCAAGCCCTGTCCAACCTGGCCTTGAACACTTCCAGGGATGGGGCATCCACAGCTTCCCTGGGCAATATGTTCTAATGCTTTACCACCCTCACAGGGAAAATTCCTTCCCAGTATCCCATCTAACCCTGCCCTCTGTCAGGTGAAGTGCAATACTTGGGTTTGTCATCAGTATCTTAAATAAACTCCATCCTGAGTAGACTCGGTCTGCATCTGTCCTGGGCGCTGGGTGGTGGGAGCAGGGGCTGCTGTCCTGGGGTGGCAGCAGCAGGATCCCTTCCTTCCACGGGGGTTTGTGCAGGACAAGGAGCATTCCCACATCCCCGCTCTTGTCCACGTGTCCTTTCCCAGCCGCAGCCCTTCTCTAGTGCCGGGTCGGGGCGGGAGTTTGTCACTAGGGGTCAGTGCCACATCTCCGTTGTGGCTTCACGAGTCGCCGCCTCTCCCGGTGCTGCTGGATTGACGCTGGAGCTTTGCCACCGAAGGGATGAGAGGTCAGAGATGGCTTCCCAGGGAGATCTTGTGGGGAAGCTTTTTGCTTTCCGGGAGTCCTGGCTCTGCTGGCTTCACCCCCCATCAACAACGGGGTCCATCAGCTTGAACCTCCCAGGTTGGGTTGGGGTGCCAGGAGTCCTGAGCTGAGCCCACTTTGCCAGTGCCAGTGTGGTGACCTGGGAAGGGATGTGCTTGTCCATGTCCTGCTCCTACCATCATCCAGCTGGGTGGGCAGCTTGAGGTATCTTTGAGTTTGTTGGGGTTTTATTTTTCAATACAAAATATCTTTTTCATTGTGTAGCACCAGCAGGAACTTGGGTTGGAAGGGACCTTAAAGGTCATCTTGCTCCAGCCCCTGCCATGGGCAGGGGTACCCTCCACTATCCCAGATTGCTCCAAGCCCCATCCAGCCTGGCCTGGAACACTTCCAGGATGGGGCAGCCACAGCTTCTCTGGGTAGATGGGGAAATCTGTGGGGTCAGATATGTACTGGGATGTGTAGGGACAGGCAGATGTTGAGGATATTGGGGCAGTTTGATGGTGGTCTGCATCCCACAGTGCTCCATCGCCGGAGGAAACACTCCTGCACTGTTTGGAACAGCTCTGGCTCTGGGGTGGAAAGAAACTCTCAGTGGGTGTTTATAGAACCAGAGTCACAGAGTGGTCTGGGTTGGAAGGGACCTTTAAAGGGCATCCAGTCCAACCCCCTGAATGGGCAGGGACACCTTTCACTGGACCAGGTTGGCCCAAGCCTCGTCCAAGCTGGCCTTGAATTACGACTTGGAGTGAGAAGCGAGTCGGAGGTGGGAGAGCTCTGGCTCTGGGAGGCAGCTGGGAGGGGTGGAGCAAATCCCACCAGGCTGGAGGATTGGGATGACTGGGATGCTGTCCTACTCCCTAGGCAGCAGGAGGCAGCCAGGGATCACCAGGATACATGTACATCAACATCTCTCCCTGTGTCAGCAATGCTGGTGCTGAGGTGAGGTGAGATCTCAAGAATGCTGATGTTATCAGCTCCTTCTTCAACCATTTAACAACAAAAGATGTGTTTGTCTGGGTAAACCACAGATCTGAGTCCCCTGGTGATGCTGCTGGGGTGCAGGCTGAGCTGGAGATTTCGTGACAGATATGGATGGACTGTTTACAGCTTTAGACCAAACTTCTTTTGATGGGACTTTATCTCAGCGCTGCTCCAAAGGTGGCCGTTTGGATGTGCTTCAGGAGCCTTTCAGGGCGTGTTTAAATGTCAGGGGGTTGATTAGAAGATAAAATGTCAGGGGTTGATTAGAAGATAAAATGATGATAAACATGCACATAAAAAAAAGGATTTATGTGCTTGTCCTAGAAGGCAAAACAATTTATTGTCCAAAACAATAGGAAATTCTCTGTGTTGGTCCCTTCCAACTCAGGATGTTCTGCGGTTCTCTGATCCCTCACCATCCTCAAGGACTCCTACAAAACCATCATCACCTGTTAGGAGGGAGGAAGGCTTTCAGCAGTGCTCCCTGCAGGGCAGGGGGAATACTAAGGGTGTGTGTTTTGTTTTCCATGTTTAAAGGCTTTTAGAGGAAGGATTATGGAGGTGCCTGCTGGTCTCCAAACCATGGGACATGGGAAGCAGCCGCGGTGTTTCTCCCAGCTTTTCCACCCTTTGAGCAAAACGAGGGTGGTGAACGACAAGTCCTTGCGTTGGAAGGTGGATTTTCCAAATTGGCTGTTCCCAGCCCATCCTGGACCACTGATGGCCACAGTCCCTCCCAGCAAGCCTCCCTCCAAGGCCGGGCTCTCCTCTGGCTGTGCCATGGGGATGCAGCTGCAGGACGACGGAACGGACGGCTGCAGCAGGGAGGAGGCAGGAGAGGACACTGTCCCCAGGAGGGAGATGCTGCAGGGCAGGAGCAGGGTCATGGGAAGGACAGATCTGCCTGGATGGATTCCGGCAGCCCTGCCAGGATGTGGAGCAGGACAAGACCTGGTGAGCTGGCTTGTGTCCCTTGAGCTCATCGGTGCCTGGTGCTGTGTGGGGACAGGGAGGCTGGCAGGGCTGGGGGATGGTGGGAACCAGCCACTCCATCCCATCTGGTGGCTCAGCCTGGCAGAGATGCTCTCCCTGCAGGGCAGGTTTGTCTCCAGCAGGGCTTGGCCACGATCCATGTCCCAGGGCACCCTCCCCTGCCAGCGGCGGCGGAGCCGCGTCCGGGACTGTTTGTCTGGAGTTGCCGGGCGAGGTTGGTCTCCTGCTGAGGGTTTCTGGAATCGCCTGGGCCAGACCTCAGCCCACCCTTGGGGGCATCCAGGTTTACAAGGGTGATGCAATCCATCCTGGTGGCCTGGGGCTGTGCTCCCTGTGACTTTGGCATTGCCTGAGGGGGTGGGAAAAGGATCCTGTGGCTCCGCAGTGCCTGGGGTGTCCGTCATTGCTGGCACGTCCCACTGGCCAGACCCAAACCAGCTCCCTGAGTCCACCCCTGTTAATTTGGGGACCAGCCTGGGGGAATCTGGGGACAAACAGGCAGACAGATGTTGGTCCAGGGGTGGAATGGGAAGCAATTGATGCCCTATTGGCACAGTCGGAGGTGGCTGAGGAGCTGCGCTGGGGAAAGAGAGTGCAGGGGCAGGATGGAGCTGGGATGTGAGATGAGGGGTGGCAGCTGAGCAGGATGTGGTTCCTCATGGCTCTTCCACCATTGCTAAAAATACAACAGGCCCAGGGAAGAATCCCCAGCCCCCAGCCTTTAGCTTGCAAGGTGGCCGTGATGGGATCTCCATCCCTTCCGCCCCGTGCCCAGTGTGGGCAGGGATTGGGTCTCAAGGACACCACTGGCTCCGTCCTCCTGGAGCCAGAGATTGAGATGGAGCTGGGATGAGCAGCCCAAGCCATTTCCCCATAGAACCCCTTCTCTCTGTATTTTCCCTTCCCAACAGAGGTGCTCCACCTCCAGCATCCTCTGGGACTACACCCACGGCTACGGCGTCCTCTGTTCCCAAACTGGGTCTGTGCTGGGACCTCACTGCCTGTGACTCTCACACCCAGGGGGTGAAGTCCAAGTCCAGGCTGGAAGAGCAGCAACCACGACGGACCATTCCATGGTGATCCCTTCACAGTGTCTCTCCTCCTGTCACTGGAAGGGGGTTCTGTGGGGCTGGGAAGGTGGCACATCCCCGGCGCCACGTCGCTGGCTCCATTGTTCATTGTTCCCCCCTGGCTCTTGGAGCCGGCCTGGAGACGGGAAGCGATAAGTGGGGAGAGGGCACCGCTGCGGTTCCTGCGCTCCAGCAGGTTATTTCCCGACCTCTCCTTAGGTAAACTCAGCCCTTGGCCTCCCTTGGAGTTTGCTTTGCTGTCCCGCTCTCCTGCAGCCCGGCGTGGGGCCCAGGGGAGCAGCCTGGCTCTATTAATAGCCCCTGGGATTGCCCAATCCCTCCTGTGTGTTGAAAGAGCGGCTGCAACACCGTCATTCAGTCCCTGGTGGCAACACACAGACCAGTTCCCCACAAGGGCTGTGCTGGGAAGGCTCCCAGACCCCAAAGGCAACGCTCGGCTCTCCAGCAGCATGGGGAGGTGGGGAGAAGCCTTTGCTCCATAGGATGGGGATTTCTTGGCTCGCTTGAGACACAGATAATGGTATCACTAACCTTGGTGGTGTTCTCCCTGTGGGCCACTGCCCAAACTCCTGGGCTGGATCTGTAAAGAGTGAAAACCAGGACCCTCGGAGAGGGCAAAGCCATGGAATCGTGGAGTCACGTAAGTTGGAAAAAATCTCTGAGGTCACGTTCCCCCAGCACTGCAAAGTCCCACCAAATCATGTCCCCAGGGGCCACATCCACACGGCTTTTGAATCCCTCCAGGGATGGGGACTCCACCACTGCCATGGGCAGACAACCTGTGCCAGGGCTGGACAACCTTCCCTAATATCCAATCTAAACCTCCCCTGGTGCAGCTTCAGGAGGTTTTCTCTGGTCCTCAGGGCTGAAACAGACTCCTGGGAATGAAATCCATGGTGTCCCTAATCCCAGGCTCTTGCTCCATGTGCAGTCCTGCCTGGAGGAGAGTGGAGAGCAGAGCCTCGGTGCAGCGCATGGAGCATCTCCTCAGGCTCCTGCTGAGTTTTAAGTCTTGGAGTCTCCTGGAGTTGGGCTTGTGAGTGACCCACGTTGGGGAGGGGGAGCTTTGGAGGGCTGGGTTACCCTGGAGGTGTGTTCTGGGTGACTCTCTGTGGATCCTGGCCCTGCTGTGGGGAGATGGGTGGGAGAAGTGGCCCACAGGGAGAGGTGGGATCCTGGATATGGATGTGTGAGGGGTGTTACATCTGGGAGAGTTTAGCTCAGCACAGCAGTGAGCAGGGGAGGGAGCCCCAGCTGTGAGGCACTAACACCAAGGCAAATATTTGGAAAGGCACTCGCTGCCCAAAAATAGCTGGAAAAGCTTTCAGGAGCAAAGCTGGAACGGCGTCCATGGACAGCAGCCAGAGTCCCCCAGCCCAGGGCAGCTCCCAGT